GGGTCATATGACTGTTGGGTTTGTCGGATTGTGAAAATATTGTCTGACATTAAACCGTCAGGTTGGGGGCCGCTGGTCTACGATGCAAAGCGCCTTGAGGAGACTGTTGCTGTATAAATAAACGGGAGTTGAAATCAGAGTGCAGCTGATTTGTATTGTTCAGCAGAAATGGGATTAACTGTGGAACAGTCTATTCACCAGATTTGTTCTACTTCCTGAACAAAAGCTCACCAGAAGAGATCCAGCATAGCTTGCACAAATACCCGCGAGGGGGGGGGGACTACTGACCTCTGTCTGCCTGACTAGATTTAAATAAGGTAACATTTTTTGATTCTTGACCTTTTTGATGACACCTTGTACTACCCTTGAACTTCCAGCGGTTCCCTCTGACTCCTCCGGTCTGCACGATGAAGCATCCTCGGGTTGGACACTGAACCACAGTTTCATATGCATGTATGACTCTGTGCTATGAATATAATAAAGTGTTTTGTTCCCGACCACACACACGCATCTAACATATATAACATGAAGAGCTGTGTTTGGTGCTATTGTGTAAAACGACGAACGTCACATAGAAGAATTTACAAAAAGCCACCGTTCACTTCAGTTTGGTCACCGGCTCGATTCCACTCATTGTTTTCTGATTTATGGAAGCGTTTTTGTGGTTGGGTGTACCGCAAATGACTCCAAGTACTCCGTGGGAAAGTGAGACTGACTGTCACTGCATTTAGCAAACATCCCACATGTGGCCATGGACGGTTTGGATCTGACTTGCCCCACGTCACCGGTTCACACTGCCACAGCCAACGACCAGTTAGGCCGTTCTAGATGAAGAGAGCAAACTCTCCTGTCTATGTGAGGACTGCGTGGTGTATAAGGACGGAGTTCCTTCTAGCAAAGCGAGCGCCTCTGCTGCTGTACCTTGTCAAAGTCTTCCTGTGTGGCTCTCATCTCTTTCCAGGTCTTGTTGAGCAGCTGAATGCAGACGCAGAAAAGCTCCTCCATCAGCCGGTCCTGACTGAAGAAGATGGGGTGGTAGTCGGATCCCGTCTCCGAGGCTGTGAACAGACACAATAAATTAGAGCTTGAACAAGAACAAGCAGAGATCGCAGCGCGTAAGAGATCAGACTGACGTGGCTCTCCGATCCGAAGGATTTCACACAGGATGAGCGTGAGCTGGATGCTGCTCCTGGCAAAGGGACACTCGTGTTTGTCCTCTCGACTGCTGTTCTCCAAGACGAACTGAAGACAGAGCAGAAACTAAGCTGAATGTAACAAACGCAGCTGCTTACATGCACCCTGTCATCTTCAGACAGAAGTTTTCTATGTCTAACTAAACTGCAGATAAGTCCTGCTCACCCTGCTGTAGGCATCGGGATAACGCGCGGCAAAGTAATACATGGTGTCCAAAGCTAAGAGACCAGGAGGCGTTCGTGACAAGTCCTGACCGGGGTTACTATTATTCTGAAAGGGAGGAAGACAACAATGTTTCACAAATAAACGACAGAAAAGCTGCCAGACAAACAGTTACCGTGTACGATCTCACGCTTACAGAAAAGCCCAGTTTCCTGAACTCTTTAGCACAGAGCGAACGCCGGCGTTCGTGACTCAGACTGTTCTCGCTTTCCGTCTCGAACGCTGCCTGCCTCAGACCGTGAAGGATGTCTCTTTGTTCCTGAGGTGGAAACAGGCGGACACACAGTGGACTGTTAGAAACTTTACGTGTTTCTGAGCACGACAGAACATTAGAAAGGGTACTTTATTCATAAGATTTCAGGATTATAAATGTAAAAACATAAATGTGCAAACGTGGCTTTAACATGTCTGTGAAGGTCGTCGTAGTCTAAGGAGCTCGGAAAGAAAAGCGTCTGGACTCGGGCTTTACTCTCACACCTGAAGAAGCTTCTCGGATGAAACGCTTTTCTTTCCGAGCTCCCTGAATCCCGACCCGCTGTGTTGCAGCTCACCTGGCTGCAACAGTCCAGAGGCGTCCTCATGCGGGGCTCCTGGAGATTCAAGGTAACTGACTGTAGGACATAGAGGTAGTGGGCCATCTCGTCTTGGACTGAACCAGAACTGTGGATTATATTCTGCCAGAGACACGTTTGACATGAATACATTTTATATTTCATCATTATTAAAAGAATTTGTGAAACGTGATCGTGAAGATAATTTACCTTATATATGTACTGACGGACACTCTTCTTAGTCAGGAAATCAAACATATCCTGTAAAACAAGAAGAGCGTGTGTGTCACTGGACTGCAGAGACCTGCTTCTACCACCGGGTGGCCATATAGAGTCGACAGGCAGCGTAAGGCAGGAGGCTCAGCCTGAGGGACTTTGACCTCTGTGACGAAATCGCTGCTTGCTGGTACGTGCATCTCTGACTCAACCGCGTTTTTGTTCGCAACTATTTTGCTGATAAGAAGGGCGGGTTTGTTGACCTGATGTAAAAGTGAGGAAGTAACAAAGAGAGCCTGAGAGAAAAGAGCCGAATGAAGGAACCGTTTGTGCACATGGAGAGAGGAGCAGAGGGGCAGAAAGACTCGACTGTCTGCAGACGTTTGCAGCGGTGCCTGTGGGATTCTGACACGCATGAACAACAACTGTCCTTCACCCGGAGGCACATGTGCAACTACAGTCTTCTCAGATTATGAGATAAAAACAAAGAGAATGAAATTATTCCAGGAACAAGTGCAGGCTCCTGGTGCAGTCTGTTCTGCTACAGCCACCTTTTACCTGAGGGACGCCTACATCAGCTACACTGACACATACATTCAGCCCACACATTCATAAGGTAATATATTCACACAAAGCATCAAGTTTAAATGTTTTTGATCCTTAAAAGCTGTCACTGGGACACATTTATGAGTGTCAGTGAAGAAGCACCTGAATCTTTTAAGGTTACTGATGATGAAGAGTATGCACGGTGCTGCCTGGAGGCAGACACTGAGCCAAACTAAAACACCTGATCATCTGCACGCTTTGAAGTTTTACTAGTGTGGAAAAGAGGAAGTGCATGAAAGGTTTGAAAAGTAGCAGAGGCACCTTTCGGTCCGAGTCTCCGGCTGTTTGCAGCAGGGCCATGAGTAAGGCCATGGCTTTGGTTTGTATCTGCTGATTTGTCCTGAAAAAGGTCAGAGACACACAAAAACATGATTTTTACAGCTTTGCAGCCACATGGAACTGCGTGCATGCTCCTTTAACAGATTTCAGTTCTCATATCACTACACTGCAGTAAAAACTGGACAGTTTACATTTTTAAAACTTCCTGTTACAGAAACAATGCTGTGACTTACTGTCACCTCGTTACAGCGCCGTTACTCTGACGCGTTTCACACGACGCTATATTTATGTGCCAGATTAAGTGAAAGCAAATTATGCAGATTAATGATTTTGAACTTTAAGATGCAACAGACACCAAGCGAGTGACTTGTTGCGTGATGAACTACTTACACCTGAAGGTGAGCAATGAGCCTCTCCATGGTGATTTCCTGTTTGACATGCAGGAAAAGGCTGTGGCTGCTGAGCACCATGCTCTCCAGGATGTCCAAGCACACCTGCTGTATCGAGGCGTCGGTCGACTTGGCGTTCACAAAGCCGGCGATCTGAGGGAGAAACGTGAGCTTCAGAAAATCAAACTCGGAAAACACGCGAGAGGCGTGCGGAGAGCAGCGGAGACCTTTTTGATGAAGACAGAGGAGAGGTTCTCCCACGAAACGATCCCGTGATCCATCAGCTCCATGAACCCCGTCAGCGTGTGCGTCATGATCACATTACTCCTGAATGACACAGTAAAAAGAGCGTGAGACATTCACACGATCAGAGTCGGTGCTTTAAAGTCAGTAACAGTAACGTGTTGCATCGCTGAGAACTCAGCCAATCGTGTTGCTGCTACCATCACAGAAAAGAGCTTCAATGAATCAGTCGGCGATATCTGACGAGGATACTAACTCATTAGAGTCTTCTACAATCTTGACCAATAAGAGGTGTCCGTCTCGGCTGATGAACTCCTGAGCAAAGGTCACGTCTGTTGAAACGCTCGC